CTCCGGGTCATCTGGTACCTTCAGTGCCTGTGTGAATGTCTGTCCAGCTCCCCAGTGACGTACAAGAGGGACACTTCCTGGAAATCTGGCCGATGGACATTTCACTGGGGTGAAGTGTTTAGAGGGTCTGAATCACTCCTGTTGCCTGGTAACCTGTTTGTATTTGGCAGGAGGAAGGTGACTCAGGCACAGGTACAGTCAGACACAGAACAGATATTTATTCAGTGCAAACTCCTCCCAGCACTAGACTGTTGATTTCATGTTTAACCTTGACACTGCTCTTTCTCATGTCATGGGGAAGGGGGAGAGGCACTTTCAATTCTTTTTAAGTCTGTGCTCAGATTCAACAAATCCCTCACAGCTGAAATACAGCCTGCTTTATTTCTTCCACTGAGTTCTGAAGAAAAGCTTTAACAGAGAAAGCAATTACAGGATTCTAACACATAAAAGTGAAGTGGAATTATAGGCTGTCATGGAACTTACCGGCCATCCCCATAAAAATTCTCTCATGAATTCACAATTGATATAACACATTCCTAAACAGCCCTGAGTCACTAATTCTGACCTCAGAGTTAAGAAGGAATTTTCTTCAGGCAACCAAAGGGTTGACTCATTTGGTGGGCCACATTCCAGGTCAGAAACACTATTACACCTTTACACACATCTGTCTTTTTAACCTGAAAGAAGTGCTACCACAACAGAAGTAGCTTTAGAACTGAAGAGGTTCACCCTCAAACACCACCATGAATATAAATCAATGTCACTGGCAGCCTAAGGTCACCTCTCTGAGCTTTGTCTTTAAGCATAAATTAGCACCCATGCCTAGGTCACTGTAGGAGCCTAAACTCTAGAATAAAACACCCTGGGTTTGCATTTCATGACATTTCTCCACTGGTTATTACTAGTTCCCTAATACTTTATGGAACCACCTTTCTTCCTAGTCATTGTTATGCATGAAATATTCAAAGGGGGAAAGTGTTTTGAAAAAGCCACACACGTGCACCCATATCAGATACTGTGTGGCCTTTTGTTTTGTCCTTTTCAGCCTTCAGAAGCCATCTAATTTCTTTTCTTTTTTAAAGCAGCTTAAAGACATAAATCTTTATGCTTAACACTTTTTATCAGTTTTCCATTTGAAAAATTTTAAACAGGATGTTAATATAATACAAAAACAGCATGCTAATATAATATAATGCTAATATAATAGAATAAAGCAAATATAAGCTTTATTTCCATTTTTGGGCCTTATGTCCTATTTGGGCAAAGATCTGCTGTCCTAAGTGATTCTTCCAGGACTACTGATTTGCAGTTAAGCTTCAGAATCAGAGTATATTTAGGGATGACACTGTCTGGCTAAAATTCTGTGGCTATGAAGCCAAAGGAATTTGAGTAAGTCCATTTACCTAATAACCAAAGTACAGAAAGTTAAAGCAGTAAGTTTTTAAGCCTAAGTATAGGCACTGGGAAGACCAAATAACCAGCTGTGGACTCATCCATTAAACATAAAACTCTCCATTCCCAGCACCCATCTTGTTGCCTCCATTTGTTAGGTATAAATGCTAAATCACAGAAATCTAAAGCATTACACGCTTTACAATAGAACATGGACTATATGTCAAGACACAATACCAAAGTCAATTCATTGCATGCTAAAAATATCTGTGTCACTCACCACTAACACCAATACAGACAGAGAATGTTAGTCTTTCCAAGCTGTTTGGGGCAGGGACCCCAAGACTCCCAGTTTGATGATTCACTAGGACTCACAGGACCCAGTATACAGTCGTACTCCTGGCTGTTTGTTACAGCAAAGGGATACAAAGCGAAATCAGCTAAGGATAAAGTCATGTGGGGTAAAGTCTAGAGACGACCAGGAGCAAGCTTGCAAGGGCCTTTTTCCAGTAGAATCACACAGGTGGTGTTTAGTTTCCCGAAAGGAGTTGTGACAACACCTGTGAAATACCGTCTACCAGAGAAGCTCATTAGTGACTCAGTGTCTGGGGTTTTTATCGGGACTGGCCACATAGGAAACTTCTGCGAGGCACATACCTAAATTCTATACTCCCGGAATGCAAGCAGGTATTCAACAGAAACCAATACTGTTTGCACAAACAGTTCAGGCACGGTGAGCCATTCTTACCAGGAAGCGGTGGGAACCCCCTCCAATCTATGTCCCCATGTGCCACCCGTCAAGGGCTAACCTTGCAAGCACTGTTCTAAGAAGGGCAGTCTCAGGCCTGGTGAGCCTGAGCTCACCTTTGTACACTGTCCTAGTTCAATCTACTATCATTCAGGACCAAACTATGTAAGAAAGGTCTCACTCGTGGCAGGTCACCTAGGTATATCCCGAGCCTAGAAGCACTTTTACCTTGTATTATTTTCAGTATTTAAAACGTAGCATTTTCAACAAGGACAAACTCACCTTACATAATAGAAGATCTAAGATGGCCTTTAGTGTCTTTTTTGTACAATAAAAAGAGCTGAATTCTAGCCTTGTTTACATTTCTGAGCACTTTCTTTTTAAAAAATATACCACTGAAATTTCTGAATGAATAGTATTCCTAAACTGAAACTCTGAGAAACCATTTAACGTATCAGACTGACAATCCAGACCCAAATAACAGTTCGTCTCACAAATTTCTAGCAGGGGTTGAGAATAAGATAAACCTCTGGGAGGCAATTTGACAAGACATCTATCAAAATTACACACATCCTTTATGATCTGCAATTCTACTTGGCAAATGTATACACATATAATTGTGTACATGTAGAATAACCTACACACAAAGTTATTTGTTGTGGCATTGTTTAAGAGCAAGGACTGGCTACAACCCAAATCTCCATCAATAGGTCACTATTTAAATTGCGGTACATCCATACAATGGACTACTCTGTGACGAGGGGGAAAAAAAAAAGGAGGAGGATGCTCTCTTTGTACTGATTTGCTAAACCCTCCTACATATATAAAGAGAAAAAAAAATACATTGCTCAGAAGTGTAGTTTGCTATCTTCTATTTTACGAATGGGGCAAATATGAATTCATACTGTGCATAGAGATAATCTGGAAAGCTGCGTTAGACCGAGGCTGGGAGGGGGCAGTGAAGGCAGAATTGGGGCAGAATTTGTAAACCTGAAAAAAATGACTTAAAATGGTATATTTGAAAAGTAATCCTTCTTTCCTAAGCCTAGGTCAAATCACCCTGGCCCATGGTTTTGGGGTTTATTATTTTAATAAGCTTCTCTATTTTGCAGTGGTTAAAACTAAAGCATTATACGATGGCTTTCTCCTATTTCCCAAGTCAGGTTTCAGCTCTATTCTTTGCATCCTATGTCTGTCTGCCATTTTGAAGGCGCTTTCCCCAGAGACATCTGAGAGCGCGTCAGTTCTCTGTGCCTCCTTTCTCCCACTTGTTTGCTGACGATGTTCAGGGCTTTTAAAAGAAAGCTCCATGAAAACAGAGGTTTTACTTTGTTCACTGCATTCACGACACTGAAATGAGCGCCTGGCACACAGAAATCATTCAGTAAGTATTTACTGAACAAATGAATTCTTTTCTTTACCCAGCTTCAACGGGACAGACACTATCAGACAAAGGGAGAGATGTTACTGTGGTCAAATATTCAGAAATAGCTGTCATTCCTAGCATTGGCCCATTATAGGCATTCTAATCCTAGCAACATTCTTAGAACTATTTTGAATTTTACAGAAGACAAACAAGTAAGCCTATAGAGTGCTGTGCTGAACAACTTAAATGCTTATAAAAATGTATTTTTAATTAACTTGGGATTATATGGTCCTGGGGTCCATCTTTGGCTGAAGACTTCTTAGGCAAACATGACGCTAATGAGTAATGATGATAAAGAATGGATATGGTCAGAAAAAACAGCCCCAGTCGTAAGGTGCCCATTGCTGTAGAGAAGAAAGAGAAACCCTTCTGTATTAAAGATGCAACTGCTATTTTTATTTTCAAGAATAAAACTATCCTAAGAATTCAATTCAAATTACCAATACTCCAGACAGTGAATTGAGTTGCACAGTGTCAACCAAGGGCGTGAAAACTTCCTTCCTTCTCAGTGGGCAAAGAATGTGTATAATTACCACATCTCTCTCTTTTTTAAAAAAAAGATAACGGTTTTAGTTGAGTTAATGAGATGAAAAAATCGTGAAGCCCTATGTGCTACTTACATGAAAGAAGATTTTTTAAAAAATAATCACTGCACAAAATACAAAGGGTGGCGTTATGCTGTGGTATTAAATTTCTCTCCATTATGTTTTTCTTGACTGTTCAAGAGCAAACTAAAGTTTCCACATCTCTTTGACCTTAGTTTAAATACTACAGAAACAGAGTAACTTTGCTAGTAATCATTTCAGTTATGTTGTTAAACAGTTGCACAGCTGACTGGTGTTTCTCTGAAGACTTTTAGTACCACTCATTTTTCTCAAAGCACAGGTGAGGCAGTGACTGAGTGCCCTGTCTGTGGGCAGTCATGCAAAGAGGTTAGGAAGTTCTGGTATCACCTCTGTTTCTCTTGCTGTCATTTAAGACAACAATCCAACACATGAGGAAACATCCACACACCTGAAACAGCTTGAAATCTAAGACTCTCCTGAAGATAAAACAGAAATTCTCAGAGTGAAGGCATTTTTTTCTTAAGGCATTTTTGAAATGTCTTAACTAGGAAAGCGAAGATAGCAGAGAAGTTGCAGGACAACCGTAGGCATCCAAGATTCAGCAGAGGAAGCACCCAACCTACTGTTTGCAGGCTTCCCTGGTAGCTCAGTGGTAAACAATCTGCCTGCCCATGAAGGAGACGTGGGTTTGAACCATGGGTCATGAGGACACCCTGGAAAAGGAAACAGCAATCCACTCCAGTATTCTTGCCTGGAGAGCCCCATGGACAGAGAAGCCTAGTGGGCTACAGTCCGTGGGCTTGCAAAAGAGTCAGACACAACTTAGCGGCTGAACAAAAGCAACAACAACAACAACAATAAATCCCACCATGGGCCGTGATCCTCGCGGCAGTCAACACTGTTAAGTCTTGTCAGAGATCCTTTCTGTGAAGAGTGGGAAAGGCTGAGGATGGTAGCTCTAAAAGAGAAAGTGAGAGCTTAAGTCAGAATCATGCTTTGTTATGTTTTGCTGGTTTTCTTGGAGTGAGAGTGAAGTGATGAGTTCTAGGATACTGCCCTCCCACCCCTTGGAAGAGTCCCTGGGAGGATGCTGGGTCTAACAGGTACCAGAACTTCAGGAGGAGAAAGGCAACTTGTGTTTCCCACTAGCATTAACAATACCGGACGGAACTGTTCCGAGGGAGCAAGGGAGGTAGGCAGAGTCCCACCCCATGATGCTCAACGGCAGATAAACAAGAAGACTGTGAGAAACGCCATGAGAGAAGTTAGAATCAGTGAGGCTGGCGTGGCTGACTTAGGGATTAGTGGTTAGGAAATGAGCAGACAGTACTGGGCTGGCGATGTAATGGGAAAACCCGAATAAACTTTTTGACCAACTCAATATTTGCATTTACTTAATAATAACAGGAAGGGGGTGGGGCATGGAAGTCAAGTATTTCAGGTCACAGAAGCAGCTGGTTCAAACCCTGAAGCAGGAATCAGCCAGGCAGATGCAGAGAATGGAAAGGCAATGGGGCACTGACACCCAGGAGCAGAGAGGTGCGGAGACCAGAGGCCAGTCCCTGAGGGCTTTCCAGAGCAGGTGAGGAGCCGCCAGTACCCAGGATGCTCAGTATCACTGAAACCCAGGCTGCTGTGGAGTGCGAAATGCATCACATTCCAACAAAACGGTGAACCATTCCCTTGCAATACGTACAACTGCTATGATATTTTAATGGATTTTTTTTTACAGACTTATTTTTTAGAGCAGTTTTAGGTTCACCCAAACAGTTCACAGTTAAGGTTCACTCTTGCTAGTGTATGTTCTGTGTGCTTGGACATGTGTATAATGACATGTGTCTACCATTAAACTATGGGAGTAGTTTTGCTGCCCTAAAACTCCTCTGTGCACTAACTACTTACTTTAACTAAAATTTGACTTGTAGATAGAAGTAAAATGTACACCGTTTTTCAGAGGTTTACAATTCATAGAACCACCTTATATGCTAAGAGTATAGCCCAATACACACACACATACACACACACACAGACACACACATACCGGATTTAGTATTTGACGTATATATATCCTTTAAATGCCCAACCAATATCATTAAAATCTATGTTTAACAATTACAGGACATATATGCATCCACAACCAGAAACTGATTTTCAACTGAGATCCCACTTTCACCCAAAATACTCAACTGTTGGAAAAGACTCAAGAATGAATGTGTCACTCCTAGTTATATATCCAAGAAAAATGAAAACCCTAGTTCACACAAAACCTTATATACAAATCTTCATTCTGCATTATTCATAACATCCGAAAAGCAGAAACAATCCAAACGTCCAGCTGATGCATGGATGAACACAATGCTCTATACCCATATAATAAAATATTATTTAGCAATAAAAGATAATGAAGTGGTGATACATGCTAAAACACAGATGAACCTTAACAACACACACATACTTCATGATTCCATTTCAATGAAATGTGCAGAAGAGGAAAATCCACAGAGAGAGGGCATAGACGAATGCTGCCAGTGTCTGGAGGCGGAGGAGAGTGGGTAGTGAATATCAGTGGGTAGGTGCTTTCTTTGAGGGATGATGTAAATGTTCCAAAATTAGGTAGAGGTGATGGCTGCACACCTATGTGAATACACCAAAAGAACTGTACTCTTTAAAAGGGTGAATTTCATGGTCATGAATTGCATTCCAATAAAGTTGTTATAAGAATTAAAGAACAAAGGTATATCTGAAATGCTGGGTACAGATGAAATAAACTTCAACTGGTCAAAAATGCTACGTTCCAGTAAGGCCCATAATAGGAAGTAAGCAACTCTGTGCTCATTTCAGATACCATACAATACTCTCAGTGGGACATGTTTAATCCTTTGAAAAAATCAGCCCACCATCAGAGGATGTTTTTCTCATTTCACTTGGGACCTCACTCCAGCTACTATCTCTCTCTCTCTGCTCTCCCCACCAACTCCACTAACCTGACCCTATCTGTCCAACAGCTCCACTAACAGCCATACTTCCAGTCACCATCATGTTTCCCCTGGACTGCATTAATCCCCTCCTGTCCCAATTTTCCACACTGACCTTTCTAAAAATTTACTCTCTCATTTTAAACCCTTCAGAGGTTCCCCCATTGAAGCCATTTCTGGAACACTGAGGTACTATTAGAAAAAATTAATTACATTCATATGCAATTAGGTAGTACATGGATCAAAAGGGTCATGTGCCTCTTAATACCAGTTAAGTGTTAAGTGATAGCTGATCAGTTGTGTCTGTCTCTTTGCAACCCTATGGATTGTAGCCCACCAGCCTCTTCTGTCCATGGGATTTCCCAGACAAGAATACTGGAGTGGGTTTCCCTTCTCCAGGGGATCTTCCCGACCCAGGGACTGAACACAGGTCTCCTGCATTGCAGGCAGATTGTTTACCATCTGAACCACTAGGGAAGCCCCTTAACATCAAAGGTGCCTACAAATGCAACCTCAGAGTATCCCCAAACTATGCCTGTCTCTGCCTTCAGGGACACTGGCTGCAGTGCTAATCTCATGGGCTAATCTTTGCATCTGCCAGCTTAAGCTACTCTATCAAAAGGATCAATTTAATTACCTATTTATAAGGTCAAGAGTTAAGTTAGCTTAGATAAATACCTGATTAAATAAGAACTGGGCTAATGAAGAGATTTTTCAAGAAGACACAATGGAAGGTCCAATATTTTTCAGGAACCTACACACAGCTGTGTATAAAAACAAGCCCAGAGTGTCAAGACGGGAGAAGCTGAAACTTAAAGTAGCTCATAAAACAGGGCCAACATTTTATTTCTTAGGTAGCAAAGGTAAATTAAACAAAAGCAGAGGAGAGAGTGGCTCCTGGCCTGTAACATCTGTGGACAATTATAATTGTTTATAACACGATGGTCTTCTTAGGTGATGCTGGTAGCAAAGAACCTGCCTGCCAATTCAGGGATGCAGGAGATGAGGGTTTGATCCCTGGGTCAGGAAGATCCCTTGGAGGAGGGCATGGCAAACCACTCCAGTATTCTCACCTGGAGAATCCCATGGACAAAGGAGCTTGGCGGGTTATGGTCCAAAGAGTCACAAAGAGTCGGACATGCCTGAAAGGAGTTAGCACAGCACACATATTAATGATGCTGATAAAATCATCAGCCTAGAGATTTTTTTTATGTAGTCAAACTTAAAATGTGTGCTCTTGTTGAAAAGGAGGTGGGTAAAAGGAGAGAGTGTTAAGACTGTAAATTCATGCTGATCACTCCAAACACTCTGTCCACATCCCAAAGTAGTTGAGAAGACCCATTGAAAAGAGTGTTATGGAAGCTCATTTATCTTAATCTGAAGTATATGTACCACGCATCACTTCATAAAGGAATAAAATAAAGCATACAACTTACAAAGTAAAATACTCCTACAAGAGGAGGAATGCAGAACCCAAAGCCAAGTACAGACAGGGTTCTTGATCACAGGAAGCAGTGGGATGGGCAGGGATGTGTTTCCCGTGACTGAATACGTCTCACCGGCTCCCAGGAGGGAATGGCCATGCTCAGCACCTCTGGAGCTCCTGACATGATGCATAACCTTCCGGCACCTCAGTTTCCTCACCTATAAATAGGGATAACAGCACTAACTTCATAGGGTCCTTAAGAGAGGTGAAGGCATTAATATTTATAGAGAGCTTAGAAACAGCACCTGGCACAGAGCATGCATGATGCATATTTGTTACCTGACTAAAATAGAAATGAAAAGAAAAGGGGTAATAGAGTGTACTAGGTAAGTCTTAAAACATGACAAAAACTGGGCTACATATTCAGTTTCCAGTTCCTTCGCAGCTAGAGTAAAACGAAATTTTCCAGGCTCAGAGGCGGATTGTGATGTCTCCGTATCTGCATGTACTGGGAGGGGAGGAAGGGGAGTAGGGAAGCATGTTCTGTTTCCCAGGGGAAGAAAAGCTTTTCTTGACACTGAGCTCTAACATGCTCACTGCAGGCCTGTCCACAGGGGTGGTGAGCAACAGCACAGCCCTGGGAGACCACCGCATGACGTCACATGACAGATTTTCATCATGTGCATGTTAGTTGCTCAGTCGTGTCCGACTCTTTGCAACCCCATGGACTGTAGCCCACCTGGCTCCTCTGTCGATGGAATTCTCCAGGCAGGAATACTGGAGTGGGTTGCCACATCCTTCTCCAGGGTATCTTCCCAACCCAGGGATCGAACCTAGGTCTTCTGCATTGCACGAGGACTCTACCGTCTGGGCCACCAGGGATGCCCCTTAATAAATTCTGAAGCATAACTCTCCAGAGTTTTGGTTTTTTGGGGGTGGGCAGGAAACCAAGGCAATGCAATACAAATAAACGGCTCTAATGGTCTGGATCATTTCAGGGACACAACTGCACCAGAAATCCATCCTTTACTTCAACATCCGTCAGTCATGCATCTGATTAGAGCTGAAGAGAAGGCAGTTCCAGATTTGTGGAACAAATTCTCTGCATCAGGAGACAGCCAAGATGCAGCCACATGAAAACACTAAGTAACCTGATGCATAGAAAGTGACTTTCCACGGAAGCATTTGTTTTTAGGTCTAATGGACTGGAGAGTCATTGTCTGGCCTATGATCATCTCAGGGGATTAAACAACTCAAAAGAATATTCCTCTCTGTCATAGCCATCTCAGGCTCTACCCACAGTTAAATGTGGAGTATTTCCAAATACAAGCACAGAAGCCCTTGTGCTTAAGGAGCATTTTATTGTAAAAGCTGGAAAATAGATGCAATTTTATTTTAGAGACTAGTTGCATGAGCACTAAGTTGCTCCAGTTATGTCCTACTCTTTGCGACCCTATGGACTATAGCCCACCAGGCTCCTCTGTCCATGGGACTCTCCAGGCAAGAATACTGGAGTGGGTTGCCATTTCCTTCTCGAGGGGCTCTTCCTGACCCAGA